TTTGAAAGTCTTTATCGGGAACCGTTTTGGATGCAGCCGGTTTAATATGCACGTTCGAATTGTTTAATGCCAAATTATATTAGATAAAAGAAAATTTAAATATCTTTTAATTTTAGATGAAATTCAGAACATTCATAATACCTTTATATATTTCATCAAATTTGGTAGAGTTTTATTTAAACGATCCACTGTAATTTGTATACCGAATCTAGTATTGGGTTAATTTCAGATTGTTGAGGTAGTGTACTGTTACTCTAAGTTTACAACATAAGTAAAAATTTGAATAACATGAATTATATTTTTATCATCACATATCTAATGACCTAAAATGCAATGTTAATTAAATTAAGTACCTACCTGACCCTAATATTTAAATAATTTAGGATTAATATGAGTTAAACATTTAAAAAAAAAATGAATACCCAACAAAAAGTAAATGATTTAGAAATTCTAAGGAAATTGTATTGCAAAAATGTAGGTATTTATAAAATAATTAAAATTATTTATTTTTTAAATTCAAATTTTTAATCTTTTATTAACCATTATAATTAAGTTATTAAAAATTACGTTTAGTTTATTTATCTCGGGTACGTTAACACTGTGAGATATTATCTGAGCTTGAGGACGGACTAAAATTTATATTATTTAATTCGTTAAACTAAGGCTCAGAAATGTTATCCACAACAGTTTTTTCTGTCACGTCAGTTTTTGGACCTTGATGTTTTTTGTTCTGTTTAATAATTTTGATACCTATAGTTAAAAATAAAACAAGTAGGTAAACTATTATAAAAAAATTAATTAATAGTTTACCTTCATCATTAGAAATATTAGATTCTTCACATAACATTAATGATAACTAATGACTGATTATTAATTAATTATAAATATTAATGTGTATTATGTGTACCTATATTTAAAAAAAGTTAAAAAAAAAAAAAAAATTTTAAACTTAGATACTTGGAGTAAGTTGATAATAAAAATAAAGAACATAAAAGGAAAAAACGATAACTGTACACACAATACACATTAATATTTATAATTAATTATTATTCATTTTTCATACATTCTCTTAGACACTAACCAAAAAACTTTGGATGATAGCTATATTTCCAGACAGTCGGGATTACAGGGTCATACTAATTAATTAGATTTTAAAAAGGGTTGATGGTCAAAAGGATTACAGTGATGTTTTATTTAAGTCAATTTTAGCTGATTGGTTCCGTTATGCTACAACAAGATACAACAAATCATAAGATTAATATTTCTATCTTTTTAATAATAATTTTTTCTATAACAATTTATATTTTATGCGCAGTGCACAAACATTTTATGTAAAGTTAAAATATTTTATAAAAGTAAAAGGACTTATAATTTATATTAATTACCTAGTAAAAAAACTAAATTTTGTTGGTATTTATGAAATAAATGTTAAATGTTTGATTGAAAGTATAATATGTTTTAGTTTTTTGTTTGGGATTAATTTTGTTAAGTACCAATTTACTCTTTGTCACAATTTAGATATACCACAGTAATTTTGAAAAAAAATATATAATATTGTGATGTATGATGTTTAATTGACTTATAATGAATTAATAATATTAATATATTAATTTTATTTAATAAAATTATTAATTATTGATTTGTGTTAATTAGAATCTAAGTATTTAAATATATAATGAATAAAATATACATTTATCTAATCTATTCGAAGTAAATATATTGTATATATTGTGTATTATGATTTGTAAAAAAAGTTATTGATTTGTGTGATTTTAAATATAAATGTTATATGAAATATTAAATTTGCTATAATATTGTATAAATTATTTTAGTTAAACTAACGATGTGCTATATTGATGTTAATTAATGCATATTTTTATGGATAACAGATAATTATGTAATTGTATACTTAATAAAAAAATTGTTTTGAAGTAAAATAAAATACTTGCTTATTAATTTATTTTTTCACTTGAAATAAAATGTTTATTCCTTTTCATAATAAATTGATAGTAGTATAAAAAATAATGTGAATACCTTAAAAGAATTTACTATGAATTGCGTAAATATTTTAGTATTTTATTTATATTAATGTTTTAAATTATATTTAGAATATAATTGAAAAGGTTTAAAATTATTTAATAACGTTCATTGAATATTTTTTGGTAATAATCGTTGCATGTGATTTGTAACGTGCTTGAAATATTACCGGATTACTTGTATGGAATGATACTTGTAATATGCATGGAATATTTGGATAAAGCATTGTATTTATATGACGATTGAAGTTACTTTTTCGGGATATAATCAGTTCTATACACATTGCAATTACAAAAGCATAACATAAAATGTAACAATACAAGTTACAAAGTAATACTGTAAAAACATCGCGGAAATAATCTAGTGCACAGTGGGTTATTTATATACCTATGTATATCTAAAGTATAAAATCAAAATTGGGTATTAGTTATAAATTATAATAATTGTTAATTGGTAAAAACATTATCATAAAAGATACTTGTCCGTTTGAAACAATTATTATAAATATAACAAAATATAAAAACCTGACATAGCCTATAGATACTAACGGAGGCTGTACCAACACAAAATAATGTGTAATAAATATATATATATATATAATTTATGTAACATGTAAAAATCAGTATAAATTCCAGATTACATTTACAATTTTTTACACCCATTCTATTATATTAAATCTTGTTCCCTCCAGTCACCTTAAAAAGTTATAACTTATAAGTTGTAGAATATACTACATTTCTATTCAAGTATTGGGAGACGCGCAGTAAATTATAAATACATTTTCATAAACAGTACAATTATTGCACTCAAACACATTTTAATTCATTTTGAATGTTTACGTCTGTCTACGTTTATCTTACAAGGAAACTAATCATGAACGCGGAATGATGAAAACACTGGAATAAATCAGGTTTAACTCGTTTATTTTGTTTGTAAACGCCCACGGTTGAAGTAAAAAAATATAATAATAATGCTCTAATAAGTACTTGTTTTTGATACCGGTATTTATGAAACTGTTTATTAAAAATCCTACGTAGGTACCTATGTGTATATCATATTATTTTCTTCAATATTACCCTTAAATGAGCCCCATTCCATAAGTATACAATTTTTAAATAAAAACAAAACAATAATAATAATTATAGTAATAATATACCATTTACCTATGCAATATGCACGTTCACGTGTAAACGATGTAAGTACAGACCAACAAAGATAGTATTGAATGCAAGTTTCATCCAATCACGATATGTTAAATTATTCATCACTATCCTTCCTACTTTAAATGAACACATTAAAATGTATATACGTAAATAACATAACTTTAACAACAAAATATGTGTTCGATTAGCTACAGCTAATATTTTATAAAACGTGTTTAATCAGAATAAATTTATCTAAATTTCACAATTTATAAATTAAAATGTATTTTTTTAAACAAAATTATTCAAACCAATTAAGTATCAACATAATGCTATAAAATAATATATTTTATTTTGTTATTTTCTCGTGAACTTTTAGAGATAAATTAAAAGTTAAAATATTATTCACCACGAAGTATTCATTGATTTACGAGTTTTCAATCTAATTTTCCAAATTTACTATAAATATTGTTTTATTTATTCAATTAATATTAATGAATATTTTTGTCATTTTATTTTTTAAAACATTTCTATCTATAAATTATCCATCTTAATTTTTTAATAACAATGCAAACAATAAAGCAATACATTTTTCTTTTAAATTTAAGTAAACACACAGTAGGTACTACAGAAGAAACGTATGCACAACAGTTAAAAAGCAAGTTTAAAAATAATAAAACTATGAGTTAAAAATGTAAAAGTGGAAACAAAAATATTACTATAAGTTGTATTAAGTTAATCTAAGTATTAGCATATATTTAAATTTTTAGTCAAGGAAATAATATAAGTTTGGTAAGTATAAAAACTTCAGTGGTATCTAAACATTTTAGAGATCAAGGTTGTGTGGCCACATGTCACATAATTAACATGTTTTGGCTAAGCTATGTAAAGTAAATTTAGTTAGCACAAATTGTATTAAATACCTAAAGAAATAAATAATATCTTCCTACCGCTTTATAAATATGTAAAACGATGATAGTTATGACACCAAAAAATTGTGGAACTAAAATTAATTTGGTGGAATTTAATATACTAGATTAGATACGTTTGAAGTTAATAAAAATGTTTAAAAAATAACATTATTTAAATCGACTAAAAGTCTGACGATTTTTTGATAAATGATAATTGATAATTGTAGCCAATGATACGATATCAGTAATACACCATATAGGAAGATAATTAAATTTTTATACACCTGTATAGTGTATATTGAAGAAATGCGAGGACACAGACACAAAGTATTTTCGTGATATTTGAAAAAAAAATGTATATGTGTATTTAAATTAAATTTTAATAAATATATATTTTTTATTTGATTGAATAAAATTAAAGCTAAACTTAAATCTTAATATATCCAAAATACGCGTCATCACTCATCAAGAATTATTTTATAGTAATAAACTATCATATCATATATAATAAAAGTATAAATAAATAAAATTATGGGTTGGTTAAAAATATTTAATTATTTTATAGTAATAAACTATCATATCATATATAATAAAACTATAAATAAATAAAATTATGGGTTGGTTAAAAATATTTAATTAAGTATTTGAGTATGCAAACATAAAAAACAATTAATATTGAACGAGTTTAGATTATAAATAAACGCTAGTTTATATATTTTCAATCAGGCCGATTTTTCTAAAACTTGATACCCGAACGTGCATAACTTTTATGAAAATACGTTGTAGATAAATCTAAAATGTATAAAAGACTAAAGGTTTTTTTTTTTTTCTGCACAACCAATGCGCGTATACCGCGAATACCCAATGTACGAGCATATTATTATTACTGTTGATCGACATCACGACTAACCTGCCCATTTGCCGTACTTGACACTCAGCGGAGTCCGGTCGGGCATCAACAGCGGCAACAGATGCGCTGCGAATCCCTTCGCAATTTCGAGTAGTACGTCGCATATCAGCACGAACACCGCGAAGAACCCGATGACGGCGAACCCGAGTATGATGGGTCCGGTCAACGAGTCTTCCGAGTCGAACACCACTGAGAATATGGACGCCGTCTTGACGATTTTTTCGGACGGGGTTTAAAAAGAGAAAACGAATGCCAACCACGAAATCCGTTCCCGGGAAGGACTACGAGAGGGCTAGAAGAAACTGAGCGTGTCGTCGAGGAAGCAATCGCGCTCTGCCAAACGATCGGTCCGACGGTTCCGAGCGTATTCGAACGGCGACGGTAACGACGGTTCGTAGCGCGGCTGTGCACATTATTATTATTCGTTCGAATCCGGTTTGGGTAAACGACACCGGCGATAGCAGTGGCATAATATGCCATTAACATTATGTTATACTGTGTTATTGTATAATTTACACACGTCATCGTCGTGTTTGGCGGAGGTGCCGTGCCGGTAGTACTCGTATACCGCGGTAGGCTGTCTACATATTACTATACACAGAGCTACAAACTAGGTCACGATAAAATATATGATGCACGTATAAAATATTATAAATTTATAATGATATACCTACGATCAGAACGATTTTCAGGGCAGACGGTCAGTCGTCTGTGTCTAAGTATTAAGTAATTCACGATTTTGACCGAACTCGTCAATACTTGAAAATTCTAACGCTCTTAAATAATGTATATGACTGACTATACGTCAGGCTGCTTGTAAATAAAAAATAATTTATGAGAAATCTTGCAATAGATTTTCAAAGTTTAGATATCAAAATTTTGAAAAAAAATTGTGACTTAGATTGTGGTCTCAGATGCAAATCGGATTTAATTTGTACATTAGAGAGGTCAACAATTTCAGTGATTTAAAAAATAAATGGGCAAAACGAATATACTAAGAAAAACCGGGTTTGTTATACAAATACAGTTTTAGTTAAAATTAATTTTGTTTTTTCTATGTAACTTGAAAACAAATACTAATCGTAGATACTTAAACATTTTACCAATCATTTATATGGTCATTTTCTAGACATGGTATAATTTTTAAAATATTTTATCACTTTTTGAGCTATAAATAAAATTTGAAATTTGTCTATTTTTTTTTTTTTATACATATTGATAAAAAGTGATATGTAAAAATGCTTGAACATTTAATATAAGGTTCTTCATAAATTGTTCATTTTCCAATTAAAAATTAAAAATTATAATCATATTATTTTTTTATAAGTATCTACCTGCCTATTTAAATGAATCATTTCTATGAAATTAGTAAATTTATAAAAAATTTTCTTTTAATCTTTAAAATTTGAAAATTAAATACAAGTGTGGTGTAATCTATACTTAAAAAAAATATTTTTGCTAAAATATAAAATTAATTTTTTATCAGCGTTTAAGCTTTAAATTTTAAAAACAATGCGTATTAACCATAAAGAATTATTTCTCAAACGATTTTTGATATTTTGTTATAATTAATAATTATAATTACTGAAAATTTTCATAAAATTTTATGAATCTTTTTGAGTTATTTATATACAATTGATATTTTCATTAGTTTTTTCTATAAATTTTGATAAAAAATTATTTTTTGTTTGGTTGGTCAAAAAGTTTGAAAACGTAATTCAAGATTTCGCGTATTTCTTATAGTTATTTAAACCTTTTTTTTTAAATATATTCTCATAATTTATTTTTTTAAATATTTTAAATTCATGTTTTTACAAACTTTTTCAAAATCACAAAATTTACGATTTTTTTTTTGAACTTGGAAATTTATATAATGTGCAATTTTTATAACTTAGACTTAAAAAATTATTACAAAGATCCGTTTAAATATTTCATATTAAAATAAAAAAACAATCTAAAATATGTATAAACATTATTATTTTTATAAATATTTTAAGTTCAAATGTAAACGATATTACATATTTGAAGTATGAATAATAATATTGGTTATTTTTCATAGTTCAAGAAGAATTATTCTAGGAAACATAACATTTTTACATAATATTTTCAAGATCAATTTTTTCGCAAAAAATAATTCTATCTATAGTATCACCAATAGTTAAATAAATTATTATATAATAATACTTCTTTTTTAACATTACTGGTAATATTATAGTACTATAATTATGGTTATTGCCAGCATATATAATGTTATACTATGATATAATGTTAGCGTAGTAGAGAATAGAATATTGTAACTTTCTATTTTCACTTACAGATTACACAATGTCAATGCACCTTTCATAAATACATATATAAAAAAAAAAAAAAATAATAAATTTAAGTAATTTTTTGTATTTAACGGAGAGATTAAACGATGCTTAAACGCCGTATAATGTTGTTAGCAATTTATTAATAATAAAACCATTATTTTTTATTTTTATTAGCAGAAAACAATACAAACTGTATTTTTATTTATGATTATCGTATGATATCCTTAAATTATAATGGCAGCGCGAAAAAAAAAATATACTCAGTTGTGTTTTCATAATACTCGTACCAATACATTATACATTATAAAATATTATTTTATTCATAATAAAATATATAGGTACCAAGTATTATTATTATAATTTGTCTATGATATAGAATGTAGATTATAAAGATATATTAATATCTTATAGAATTAGTAATTGATATTTCTATATTTTTTAATTATTTCAACTAATTCATGTACAATTAAATATCTATTAATAAAGTTACAATATTTTGTTGATATATAAGTTATATGTATAAATTAATTAATAAACTTTTAATAAACAATGGCATGTTTAGATGTAATTTTTTTATAAAATTTTTAAATCTAATAATCTACGATATAATTAAATGTATAACATTAAATAATATTATTTTCCATTATTTACTATGATGTAGGTAAACCAATAATCTATAAGATTATATTCTTCTTCTATGTTATGTAACCATAAATACACTTTCAAAATTTTTATACTTATATTTTTAAACTTGCAAGCAATATATTTTAAATTTTCATGACACTTAACTACTTAAGAATTTAAAATGATTATACACCTAGGTATAATTAATAAAACGATGCAACTTGACTAATCTTTTTTTTTATTAACGTTAACTAATTATTAATAATTTTAAATAGGTAGTTAACCATATTTTACCTATTATTATCAGTGTATACATTATTGTAAATTAAACTCGTAATTTGAGATAAGGCTTTTTGTTGTTTATAACTATCTAGTAGGCAATTACTTGAGGTAGCTATTTAGTAAGACATTTATGAAAAATAGGTCAGATAACCTACTTACATGTTTATTTTAATAATATTTGATTGGAAAATTTCAACGTAAGCATTTTACATTAAAGAATAATTGATACTTGAAAGTGAACCCCAATAATATCGATATACCTACTTTACGGGATACGCTTTAAATTATAACAATACTGTATTTTAATATTATTAATTATTACTTATCAGAGTAAAGTATAATATGTCTCTACTTATTCAATTATTCAAAAAAAATCTTCAATGACATTCAGGAAAATATTAAAGGTTAATACATGCGGGGAGGGGGCATTATAGTATTATGCCCATTTATGCTTTTCTGTATTACTATTTAAGATATGTTATACCTAAAAGGATTATAAGGCACATATTATCATAGGTTGATTTGAATGAAATTTGAATATAACATTACTAAATCCTTAATATTCTGTTAAGTGAAACAGGAAACTAATAAGTTTGAATTATTTTCGAAAAAATCAGCATCTTACATATGACAAATATATAATATATCATGTATATTAGTCAAATTGGGTTGAAAACCACAATTATCCATCGAAATCGCAGTTTAAATTTAACTTATTAACATCTTCTTCTTCAACGTTTTTTTTTTTTTTTTTTTTTTTTTTTTAATCTCATCATCACATATTATCATATTCAAATTCACTGCCTACAATACAAAAATATTTTTAACCATCGCCTACTCCAACCAAAATAACTATTTGAATACGGCGCTAATATACTACGAATGAATATTTTTTTTTATAGTAGGTTTATAGGAAAATAATAATTTCCGACAAATTCTCATACAGTATGGTTTATTTTTATTACTATCGTAAATATGGGAATTCAAATTTCATTGGGAAAAATGTGATAATGAATTACATACATTAATGTTCATTTACTCCTCACGCGTTGGCACAGCCAAAACGTATAAGTAATATGAAATGCCTAACCATAACTCCTTAAAATATTGTATGGTACAGCGCCTTTAATATTTTAAGTTTTAAAAATTCTGATATCAATGTAGTACATTTTTCTTTTTTTTTACATAAAACGCAAGAAGATTTCAATTTATATTGATTAATTCTTTTTTTTTATTTTTTTTTTCTGACACTGGTCAGTTGTTAAATGCGTTTCCTTTTTGTCCTTTTTTTTTTTGTTAAATCGTTGTGCTCATTTCAATGATACTCTCCAAATACTAATCTTCATTAGTTCCAGAAATATGTTCGATGTCACTATTATATATGTATGCATAACTAAACATATTAAATGTATGTATAATATAAATATAAAAATCTATCAAATCTAAAATTAAATAAGCTTAATTAATTACCTCAATTTTTTGGAATATGAAGTAGGTAATAACACATTATTTTGGTTCTCCTGTTCTATTTTTCATAAAATATGTTTTATTCAACTACATCTGCAGAATTTATTTCTAAATTATTTTGAGATAAGTGTTGTAGATAGCTTTGATCTAAGCCATTTCTTCAAACATTAATATTTTCTTATAAATAGTGTCCATTCTATAAAATGTTGATAAAAACAATGGTTATTATTATATTTATATTGTTAATGGCAATGTTGCTTTTATTATTTTATTATTCACGAACTATGTAAATTAAGTAGACACATATAGTTTAATTTGTGTTTTTGTTTTTCATTTTGTGCTCTGTACCCATAATTTCAAACATTTTTCTAGTCAAACCATTAAATTTATTTATAGTAATTGTATGATAATATTATAACTGTAATATTAAAATAAATGGCGAACTAAACGGATTACTAGACCAGACCACATTAAGTATTTTCGTAAATACGGCTTAAGATGATAAAATTAGATACTTTTTTATACTTAGATAATTTTTTTTAAATAAATATTTTAAATAATTATAATGATTTAACATTATAACCATCCGATCACTGTAATTATTTTTTATTAAAATAAAATTCGACCCCGTACTTGATAATAGTAATTATCTGTTTTTTCAAATGCAATTTGTTATCTATTATCTTACAACTTTTAATTTTTTTTATCA